AGCGGCAGAGACAATGGGTGATGGACTGATCCCAGCCGCCATTCCCCATCCCCCTGCACCACTCAGGGGGAGGAGGCAGAGAAAACTGGCAGGGAAGTTAAGCCCAAGAAGAATGGAGGGGTCAGTGGAAGGTGTTTTTAAGATTTGGTTTTGTTTCTCATTATCCTACTCTGATTTGATTGGTAATAAATTAAATTTCCCCCAAGTCAAGTCTGTTTTGTCCATGACAGTGACTGCTGAATGATCTCCCCCTATGATATCTCAACCCATGAAGCTTATAATTATATTTTTTCTTCCCTGTCCATCTGAGGAGGGGAGTGCTAGAATAGCTTTGGTGGGCACCTGGCATCCAGTCAGGGTCAACCCACCACACAAGTAGATCCACGAACTGACCAAAGTCTGCTCTCCTGACGCCAAGGGTTGTGATCTTGCTATTTGCTATATTTCCTTCCCTCAGGATCCTGAGCTCCACAGTCCTACTGCAAGAAAGTATGTCCCCGACCTTCACATTCCCAATGTTCTTTGTTTGCAATTATCAGGCCCAGAACACCTGCACTTGCTGGCTTCTCAGTCATTTGTATCTGGAGGTTATCATCAATGCACTCCAGAAATTTCCTAGATTCCTTGTGCCCTTCTTGTTGCCCTTCCAGCAGATCTTAGGCAGGTTGAAGTAACCCATGTGGACCAGGGACTGCAAATCACAGATTTGTTTAGGTTGGAAAGGACCCCTTGAGATCATCTAGTCCAACTCCTCTACTCAAGAAGGGTCAGCCAGGGCAGGTTGCCCAAGACCAAGATGAAAGCCTCATAATCCATCAATTTCTTCCTGATGAGGTGATCTGTAGCAGATGGCTAGTATCCACGATCATGTTGGTCTGCTTGTCAATCCTTCCCCATAAGGTGTCAGCTGGCTCACCATCCAGGAAGAGCTCCCTTCATTTCCGCTGCTGTCTTGCCAGTCTGTCCTTCCTAAAGATCCTGAATCCAGCCATGGCAGCGCTTCAGCTGTGTGAGACAGAGGACCTTATCTCTCTAATTCCAATGAGATCACACATCTCTCATTTCTCCTGTTTGTTCCCCACGCTGTATGCATCAGCATACAGGCACTTCCAAGAGACACCAGTTGTGACAATTTTTCCAAGAAGAGTGTTGAAGTTACCTCTATCGTGTTGTCATCTCAGCACCTTTATTCATACATATACACTTGAGGTAGGCCCCCTCCCTTCAGTCCTTATTATTTTTGAGGTTTCTTGTGCTCCTATCAGCCACAACTTGCCCACATCTTGCCCTTTGCTTGCCAGTCCAGTCCACCACCTCTTCCCCCGATTGTGGGTCACCATCTGCCGCTCCCATTTTTCCTGTTTTAGAGCTTGCATTACCAGGTTGGTTGAAAACATTCATTCTGCCTTCAACAAGACAAGTCTGAACTACTTTTTCTAATATTAATACTATATTACACATGTAAAAGTTTCTATTGAAATTCAAATACATAAGAAGTTGAAAAGACTTTAAGTTGCACCACTATTAAAGCAATTTGGATACAAAAAGAGACTGGAAAAGGTGCAGCAATAGGTGCTATTTTTTTCCACAGCTCTCAACTTAGTCTATTTTTATTATCTAATTACAAATTTACTTGGTAATTTTTGGAGCAGTCTGTGTTGAGAGCACGGTTGTTTAATTTGTAGAAAGAAACACATTATTAATTGCATTTCTTTTTTGTATATGAAAAAGTGTTTTTAACTTAAAACAGAATCTAGGTGACTAGAAAGTTATAATGAACCTCTTCCCAATATTCTTATCTGGGAATGACATCAGCCTTCCTGTTTCAGGATACAGAGGAATCATTCCAGTATTTTGATTAAATAATGTCCTTTACCCACAAAAGATAAGAAACATATTGTATCTACCTGATAAGTTATTTCATCAGAGTTTGCAGATGCTGAATGGGGTGTATGGCTCACTAGTATGACTTGCTGTGAGCCTGACCCACTTTGGCTAGTGAGACTGGAATCTGTGAGTATAGCAGGGAACTGTTGACCCTGTCAAAGAAGGGAAGGGGAAAAAAAGAAAAGGTAGAATAACCGTATTTAAACAGCTCACTGTAGTCATGTGAATTATTTTTATACCTCAAAACTAGTTTTGTTTTTTTCTTTTCATTGAAAAAGACCACTCCAGCATCCTATCTGAACAAATGCTACTTGTTTTCTCTCCTCTTCTCCTTCCATTTTAAGTCTAACAATTTAAGGGTAACAACAGCTGGAAGTCTGTAAGAGTAGAGATTCAGTTCTGATTAATTTTTCCCAGCCCTGCATCAATTGCTGAACAATTCAGCCTTCCCTTGGCTTTGTCTCTTCAGCCGATACTTTTTTTAAACCCTATACTCTGCTTTCATGCATGGTCTTCCCATAGTATTTTCCTTTTTTAAAATCTCTTAATTAAACCTACTTCCAAACCACAGGAAATCAAGATACAAAATTACTACTTAAGATATACAATTACTAATATCAAACTACTACTTCTACATTACTGTTAAAGACTTTACAACTTCCCCAGTAATTACAGCACCTTTATGTACTACCTGTCTATTTTCTAAGTAACATCTCCAATTCCTGCCCTGTGAGACATTAGTTTATCTCTCAGTTCAGAAAAGCATTTCTTACCTGTGAAGTGATATTAAGTGTAACTGCATCAAGACCACCTGACAACATTCCCTGAGTGTCAGCAAGAGTCAATGTGACACTACCATCTCCTCCGACTCCTGAGGAAGACATTACCAAATTCTGGGCAGAAACCGTAGACTGAGATATGGGTGGTGTTGAAGGCAGGTTTGTTCCACTGGTTGTATTAAGTTCTGGAATATATGCAAAATAGTAAACAAATAATCTGTTACATACATATACTCTCAGCTGTGAACTTATTTTAATTGAACTTCATTTCTATTTCTCATTTGCTAGGCCTTTCTATTTTGGAAGCAAATACATCAGTTAAACAGCTAATCACACGTCAAGAATTGTCAGAGAGTCAGATGATAAAATGAGAAAAATTACATCTACATGTTGCTTGATGGACATCATACTGCAAAGCAACAACTTTGCAACATGGCGTGTGGGAGATGACACATTGCCAAAACAACACCTGAAGAAGTTCCAGGTTACACGCTTCTGTAGTCTCACCACTTTCAGAGTTCTCAATAAAATACACTTTGCCTTACAGCAGTAAAATCAAAATTTGGTAACTCCACAACCCAACACTCCCACCCTACCCTTGCAATGTGGTTGATGATCCATAATAGCAAAAAAGGTCAGTTTATTATTAATAACAGCTAAATAATAGTTTATTATAGATTCTCCACGAGCCTCACAGTTCTCAGTTTATGATAAGCCTTAAAAAGCTGAGAAGATGATACAGAAGGTGCAATACAACTGTCTGGTTTTGCAATTTCATTTACTAATTCATTACACAAGAGCATGCCTTAACCTTCAAATCTTACAGGATACGCTGGGGCAGGCTTCCCCCAGTGTGACATAAAAGCCTATTTGCTTTATAGATGTACATGAGCACTAAACGAAACTAGGAAAGGATAAAGACAAAGCAAAAGAAAGACAGAGAAAACTTAACTATGCGTAAGAGTGAAGAAAATTATTTACACATCAGTAATAAGTCTGTATTAGTGCAATCTAAATCTACCGCAACCAATCAGTGCAATCAATGCAACCTGCTGCACTGGTTGAAAGTATGAACAACTATATACACACACATTTTGTGTGTATATATCAACAGATATTGGTAGAAATTCATATACATATTTAAAATCTCTAAATTTGAATACTAGAGCAAATGTGATATAAAGGATATTTTATCATCTGTCTGCAGAAAATGTATCGTATTTCTTCATCCTCCAATTTATAGAAATAGTCCTTCAATTCCTGTAACTCCTTCAAAGCACTAATTTTAGATATGTATTCCTGTTTTCATTTTCTTCTTACTATGTGGAGTAAAGTTCATCTAAATTGGCATAACAATTTAAAGCTAGTGAGAAAACACACAAAGCCATATAGTTCCTGAATCGTAATGTGCAACAGTATACCATCTCGTATTTAGTTACCTCGTCTAATATTTATTTTTTAACAAAATGTTACTATTTTTAATTAGAAAAAAATCACTGTATGCATACCTGGAGCATTTAGTGAAGTGCCCTGAGAAAGAAGCTGGTCATTGCTTATAGTTAATGTAGCACCTGTAGTCTGATTGTTGATGGTTGGTGCTGTCAGCCTTAAGCCACTATTCAGATCACTGCTTCCAGAATTATGTTGAATAAGATCTTGGCCTGAATAGAAATTAGTCCTATTATAATTGGAAACGTCTCAACGTTATTCTGCTACTATACTTAGAACTATAAACAAGTGATCATAAAATAACAAAAATAGAAAATAAAACCAAAACACAAAATTAATTTCAACACATGCAGATTTTTATGCAGAGATTCAACAAGTTTTTATACATATGTGATTATGCATATCTAGATAATAACATGTAGAGAAATACCTGCAATTAGTAATATTTAGACAAATATTGATCTTGCTTATCTAGATTCAAGGCACCAACTTCATGAAACTATAAAAATCTAGCAAACTAATGACTAATGCTTAAATTGTGATTTTTTGGATCTACTATATGGATAATGAATTGCATTGAACATGTCTTCATTTGTAAAAACATCACTTCACATGGTATTAATTTTGTGGAACGGTCAACAAGCATAGAACATACAGAAACTGAAAGCAGATTCTACCAGATGTTGGACACCTACACTCCATTTTTCTTTGATGAGTGAACATCTGTTAACAAGCAGAAAAACACAGGTGGAGGACCCTGACACCTTAACACAGGCATTATTGTCAAGACACTTAAAAACACTAAACACGTCACAGAAAATGGAAAAAGAGAAAAGAGAAAAAAAGGAAAATAAATAAATCAAAAATAAAAAAGCAAGGAAAAGAAAGGGAAAATTATTAAATATTATACTGGATCTATTAAGGAAATGTTAGGATACAAAATACAAACAGTCTTTGGGGGAAACAGAAAGATAAGAAAATAGAAAGAAACAAAGATATTTATAGTGTATACATATATATAGGATCACTCTCTTAAAGGCAGTGAGAAAGTCGGTCTAAATTTATTCAGAGAGACCTGAAGTATTAACTACGTATTATAAAGACTGAATAGTACTCTTCAAAGAATGATCAGAACATTTATTAGAACATGGTTCCACAGGCATTTTGAGAGAAGGAGTTAAGGGAATCTTATCTGCTAAGATGTTGTATAGCCCTAGGAGTTGAATTAGCAGGTGTGGCTTAATGATTTGTGAACTATTGTGTAAATTAACTGAGGCAGGAAGTTTTGCAACTCCTCACTAAGGACAGTTCCCAATAAAGATCAGAAACTTGCTTTAAGGACCTGTTAAAACCTACCCTGAAGCAAGAGCCAGGGAGCAACTGAGTTTGCACAAGAGCAAGAGATTACTAGTGGCGATGAAGAGGAGCCATCAGCCTTCATCTCCACGACCCCCGACGACCACCACGAGGAGGCACTGCGCAAGCGCAATCGGGAGGAGTCTATGGAAATGACTTCTTGGAACTAATTTCAATATGAAGCGGGGATAGGTCATCCATACGTATAGGTGTGTTGGGAAATCTCACGTATGTAACACTTACCTGTATAAGTCTGAAGCAGGTTGCCACGTGGGGCACGCACGACTTTGGTGGGGCTACCCCCAGTGCCACCTGGCGCTGAATAAACATACCTACTTTACAATCTTACAGATTGTGGAGTCCGCTTTCCGCACGTCAATTTAAAGAAAACTGCATTAAATAAACTCATCCCCAATGTCTGCCCTGCTTGTTCCTGTCCCAGTACCGCCCAGGAGTCACACTACCCCAAGTGAGGCAGAGCAAGGAAATAAGAACTGGTTATACGGGCTTTGCTGCCAAGGAGATAAACATCTGGTGACTCAAGGCTAGGAATAAAATAGGGAACTAATCTAACATGCATCCGCAAAGCAAATATATTTGGTTTTCAAAAGCAGATTTGGAGAATACCTTTTAAAGCTAACGAATATAAAAAATACACCACGGGGAAAGCTGTGGACTGTGAAAATATCCTCAAATGCTACTGTATAGCTACCTTATAAAATGGAGAACTGGTACCATTACAGATCATCAAAAATACCAACCAGATATTGTAAGAGTGATTTCTTGAGGACTTCCTGATGAGCTTGTTGTAGTAGAACCCGAAGCATGAGCTAGAACTTGACTCAAACTGGAATTATTTATGGTCAACATTATCTCATGTTGTCCATTGGAAGATGATACCATACCCTGTGAAGTCATGACTTGAGAGATGTCCTGTGCACCTAAATATAAGTGGGTGGAACAAAAAAAATTCCATGAAGATCCTTTCCTTGTAATAGACACAACTTTTAAAAACAATTAATACATTATTTTCTGAACTACTATAAAAGATGTAGCCAAAGTAAGATGCTAGAACTTGTACTCTGAAGAATAAATTGTTTTCATATTCAATTTATTCCTCTGCAGGTTAAAATCTTCAGAACAAAGATTTTTTTATTTTTCTAAAGACTATATAATGAAAATATTAAAGAACATTTATAAACCACCTTCTGAAAAAATTATACTCAAAAATGGTAACGTAAAGTTGTAAAATCTGCTGAAGATGCTCATACAAGAACTGTATGCTTATTTTACTAAATGAGGTATTTGGCGGAAGCGTGTGATATTTTCTCACTGTGGGTAATACCATAAGTAAAACTAAGAAATTCAAAGCACAATAAAACGATTGACACTGCTTACCACTACTGCTGGTTGTCAGCACAGACTCTTGCTCAGATAGAGATCCTATTGTCATGTTAGCAGATGATGTTACTGTGGGCTGCAAAGACAGGCCTGATATAGGCTGAATAACCACATTAGCTGGCACTGCATTTTCTGTCGCCTGGAGGGAGGGATTCTGTGGAGCCATACTGGGATCACCAGTTAGCTGCTGAGCAAGTAAATTACTCTGCTGTAACGTCTGCTGTAGAATACTCGGATCGATCTGAAAAGCAAGTTTTCAATCCGATCAATCTGAAGTTAACAAATGTGAGTTAAGTGAACATTCTTACCATAAATCCAGAATTCATATTTATTGCATATAGAGTATACGCAACATTTAAACTTTATTATTAACCATTTTAAACTTAAATTTATTTTTTAAGTGTCTGTACGTAGCCAGTCTCCAAAGTCACTACATAAACACTCTATTCATCTTCACCTGCAGATTCTTCCCTCCCTTCCCTTAGCAAAACATTTGGGAAACCATGATCACAGTTACATATAAGTGTGCTGGGCATCAGATACCCACACTGCTGACATTCTGTACTGTCTTATTGCTGCATGTAACGCTTATCACTGTCTTCAGGTCTTTGAAAGTGAAAAGGTATGGAGCAGACAGAAGACTGATACCAGAAATTATCTATTTTTTCAGCTCCTAATGCTCATTAAGGTCCCAGTTCACAGTCAAAACAGCTGTTCTCAGTAGCTAAAGATAGACATTTTACTCTTTAGGGATGTTTGAGGACTTGGGAAAACAAAACTAAAATACAGGTTTTTTTGTTTTATGCTGAAAGCTTCTTAAGTAGAGAGACTCTGAGCAACTCAATGTAACACTGAAGATATCCCCTCTCTGACCCTGGAGTTGGACCTGGTGACCTCCAGAGGTCTCCTCCAACCTCAATGATTCTGTGACACTGATTAAACACAACAAAGTTCATAGAAATCGTTCTTTCACGTAATTTCAAATATGAATTTTCAAATGTAATCATCTCACCTTTTTCTGTCATTCATTTTACAAGCTCAATGGGCATTTAAATTGTGAATCCAAATAGTAAAAGTTTGCCAAACAACGCAGGTGTCTTATGTTAAGGAAAATAACATTCTGTGCAATAATTGGGGTTTGTTTGTTTCTGGGGGAGGTTTCTTTTGAGGGGTTGGGTGGGGAGCCTGAAATGCTTTTGAAGTGATAAGACAAAATGCATTTAAAAGAAAGAAAAAAAAAATACAGATTTTAAAGCAATCCACAAAAATCCTAGAGGAGTAAAAAAACCTGAAAAACTGAAAAAGAAGGAAACCAAACCAGAAAAAAAACTCCAATGTGTAGCTATTCTTTAAGTCTTCTAACATGGTACAACTGATATAGCATGGTATTGCTGCATGCCTCACTCAACTCAACGGAACTCTTCCAGAATTATGCATGCTCGTTAAACTTCTTTCAGCCCTCAAAGTGACTCTTTTGAAAGCCAGAAACTGTGAGTAACCTACCTGTAATGTTATGTTGTTAATACTGGTGGCATCTATTCCAGAAATTTGAACATTTTGTCCAACCAGATTAGCAGCAAGTTGTAACTGTATTCCTTCAAGAGTGGCCAAGCTACCATCTGTCAAGGACACAGTTAAGTCACCTCCAGCTACCAAAGAAAACAGTTATATTACAATGTTTTTCTTTATCAATACTGACTGCCTCTTTTAGCTTGTTTTTTTTAATAAACTAAATCAATACAAAAGCTATACACGCACACATTTATTTATACCAAGAAAAATAATTGGAAGTAGATGGCTGCCTATTTTAAAGTTTCATAAATTCTATGTAATTTAAGGACCGTTATTATTTAATTAAGTACTAGATAGCTTCTTACAAAATAAGAACCACTCCAGAGTAGCTTTGGAAACCTGGAGAAACTTGGCATAAATTTCCTTGGAGAGTGTGCCGCACCTAAATACAAGCAGCAGTCACACATGATACATACATTCTGACTCAGAACATATACATGAAAGCTACTGCCACGTTTTTGCACAGCACATTGTTCTAAAAAGCATCAAAGTTCATCCTGTGTATGCACATGGATGGAAATAAAGGTACATTAGCATTTGAAATCCAAAATCTCAGAATGTAGAAAGCTCCTAATTTCAAATGTTGAATAGACCATCTCTACAAAAGGTCTTGAGATAATATGAGGAAAAAGTCATCTTGTGTCTGACATACCCTCTTCTCCAAACACCTTCAGTATGATCAACCACTTTCCTTTGGTTGATGCTTCAAAAACATCTATCTGTATTTCCCTCCCCAAAATTCTTTAATATAATAAATCTGCTTTACAATGCACCCAAGAAATACCTGCTCTGGGCAAAACCCACATCACTAATCTCAATTTAAGAAGGTTCCTGCCTCTTTCTAGGACATCTGAACATGCTAAAGACTCCTCCCGATTGTGTTCACTCAAAAACCCAAGCAAACATCAGACAGTTTTTAATCACAAATTTATCACTAACTGTGCCTGTCAAATAACATGTACCAGTATCTTCCGAACAACCAACAGGGTTGGTTTTGGACTTCAGTTTAGGTCAGATCAGATAAACTGGAATGGCTACAGTTAAATATGAGACTGATCCATTACTGGGAATTTGTGTGCATACCTTCAAAATCATAGACATGGACTGAAAAAAAGTGCCAAAGCAGCACAGAAAATCAAAGTCTCACTTTCAAAAGTGACAGACAGACAGTCCAAGACCCATTATTTAAGTAATAAATTTAACAGTACCAGGGAACATTTCCAGACACCTGAACACTGTTCTGCTTTTAAAACCGTCCCTATCCCAACTTCGCCTGAGGCCAGCTAGCACTTACCCAAACAATTCTTGAAAGGAATTTAGAAGTTAGCAAGGATCATTCTCAAAAAGTCATTTTCTTGAAACATGAAGCACGTTGGGTATTCTGTGCCAGTTGGCCTCACAGACAAAGAATGGTCTATAGCATATTTAATGTGCTAATGCAACCGTAGTCACTGTCAATTAGTAAGACTTCATATCCTAGGCATTTCACTATTTAACATACATGCCTACACTGGTAGGTTTTTGTATCGCTGAAGTGTTTTCTTGTTTTGGTTTCTGGTTGATTTTTTTGTGCGATGTGTGGGGTTTTTTTTTTGCTATTGACTATTAACTACTTGTGCACAGCAGAGCACGTGCACTTAAAACACACTCTTCGTTACTCATGTAAATGACTAGTGTAGACAAACTTTTCTTTGCTCTATGATGTAATGTTTGAATATGAAATAAATCTTATGGAAGGGAAAGCTCACAGAATAACTGTTTTGCTTCTCTCCTTTTCAAGAAAAGGCAACAGGGTATTACCCAGAAGAACACAAGTACTCCAGCTACTTATTATCTGTATTTTCTTCCTTTCTGCAGCATAACACTACAGCAGAACCAAAGAGATCTTTTTAGGCAAACTGTATACATTTTCCCCTTCGCTCTTAAATAAACAGATTTCTATTTATGCCACCACTGTGCATCGAATCATAAATTCAATACAACTCTTACCTGTTTGGAAGTAGTGTTTGGCATAATTTTCTGAACTCTAACTGAAATCAAAGTTCAGTACTTGATCTCAACACCACCACCAAAAAGTCATCCATTTTTACCTGACACTGAAGCAGGCAGGATAGCCTGGCCCACAAGTCCTTGTTGAAGTAAATTTTGATCAAACTGACTCGTCAAAACGGAGTTATTCATGATGAAAACATTAGGGTCTGTTGAGGATGAATTAAGAAGACTGACTGGTTGTAGTCCCTCAGCTGAAGTACGGGCAACAGGCTTCCTAACTTTCTTTGTCTCTGGTTTATAATGACACTGTATGTGGGTTTTTCTGCGCCCTGAAGTACGAAACCGTAAATCACAGTGTGGACATTTAAAGGGCTTTGCTCCTGTATGCAGACGCATGTGGACTTTTAGACTCCCTTTTGTAGAAAAAGAATTACTGCACACATGACAACTGAAGAGCTTCTGGCCTGGAAAAGTTTCAAAAACAGAAAGGTAAGTGATAAAACCTCTAAAAGTCAATAGCACTGTACCAACAGTTTTAAAAAAATACAGATTCTAAACTAATTTGAACAGAATAAATTCAAAATAGCTGGCCTTTTTCTTTATAATTTTGGCTGCTTTTCAAACGAATTAAGGATCTCAATGAAGGGTATCTTAATTTTTTTCCTGTTTCTAAAACTCAATATGCAGTTAAAACTTTCATGCAGAATCTTATTTGGTCACCTTGATGCCTCTGTCCTTCTCATCATCTCACCTTCCTGACCAATCAAGTTGTTTCAACTAGACAGCTCATAAAACTGGAGAATTAAAAGTTTCATCTCGACTGCTTCAGCATTTGGCTTCTCCTTACTTAGCCACTCATTTCCTTTTTAATTTCAGCAGCTTTATTCTTCTGTTTCAGCCTTTACCTCAATACTGACTAATGGATAACAAGCAGGAAAAAAAATAAAATTTATAAGTGAGATAATATTCTAAAACAAAATACCAATCACCTCAAAGTAATCTAGAAGTACAAAAATCTGGTCTGTACACATACTGTCCTCTTTCTCTGCTCTCCTTTCAGATTGCATAACATTTGGAAAAAATCCTTGGTCTCCACGGTGGTGAAAAAATAATTTTTAAAAAAGGTAGTATTAACTGTGATTAAGTTATCCTTTTTACCTGGCAAACGATTAGATCAACCCTGAAACAAAATTGACTCAACTTCTAGATCAGAACACACTACTGTATTCTGGTGATGTTAAGTCATTTACAGTTGGTAAAGAAGTCACAAAACTAATGTGTGCCTATGATTCCTGCTATTGAGTTCTCGTTTCCATTTACACAGAAGAACTTCTCATCAAATTCCTGAATTGCAATTCAATCTACTTCAGATTACAGATTTAGATTACAAAACCCTGACATTGATGTCACTTTTTGTTCAACAAAACTAAGTAAACCTCTGACAACGTTCTGTTTCAAATAATGGAGAAGAAAGAGCCCAAGAATAAAATGAACCAGTAAGACAATGGGGATCAGGGCTGCAGCAAAGCTGGCTACCACATCCAGAGTACCACAAAGAAAACCATACAGTAGTCTTTCCTACTACAGAAAAAGAAAATCCACTGGGGAAAAAATAAGGGAGGGAAAAAAAAAAAAAAAGAGACAAAGAAAAGTTAACAAAACAAAACAGTAAGTAGCGAGGAACAAACTGAACATCTGAAGTCCTGTTTAAACAGAACATTAAAATATTTAATCAGATGATGACCTGACTCTTGGGCTTTCTGTATAAATACTCGGAATTTGAAAAGAAAAAAGAAAGATGGATGAGGTAGAACATAAAACCATCTATGCACAGGAAGTTAGCTAGGCCGCGAGGGAAACTTGAAGGAAAGATGATCACAAATTGGGACGAAAAGTCATACAAGAATGGCAAATGCCGACTTGGCATTGCTTCCAAATATAGTCAAATTAAGTGTGTTTTATTGCATCTACAATTATGCCACACTACTGGCTACCCAAGTAAAATGTTAACAAGAACTGTTGCATGTACAGCAAATCAGAAGACCAATGAAAGCAGAAATACAATAATGTGTGACTTCAGTTATCCCACTATATGCTACGTCAGGATACAGAAACTAAGTGTTCAACCAAAGAACCGTATATCTCACAGAAAAAATCCCAGCCAGCCTGCTGGTCTGAAAGGTGGTGATACAATAGAAGCTGCAGTAAAATCCCAAACTAATTCTTTGCATCAATGTTTATCACAGATGAAGTCAGGTTCCTACCCAAGCAACTTTCTTTTACAGAGGAGAAGCAGAGCAGCTTTTCAAACTCAACTGTTGTTAGGAGAGTTCCAGACAACCACCCCGTAATTTTTTTTTTATTGTTCATTTAAACAAACTAAGTACAACTCAACATAAAACCAATGAACTATTAGGTGTAGGTGTTGCGCACAGATTAAAACAGCCCTCTGAAAAGGGATCCAGGCTCAAATGCAGAAACTGCACACAAGTTAAACTTCATGTTCATGTAACACAACCTGGCCCAATTTTAAAGGAAAATGGAAAAAAACCCCACAATATCAAATGAGTTATAATCAGGAAAAGTTGATGTGGCTTTTGTAGTGAAAATTACACTTCACAGATCTATGAGAGCTCTCTGAAGGAGACCAGATTTTCATTGACAAGACTGTATCTGGATTTTTGGAGTTTTACACTGGTTTTATATGAAGGACCTTAGAAAAACCGCTGTCACAGGATGAATGCACAGGGTACTTTGATGAATTGAAGAGAAATAGTGATAAGACTGACAATAAAAGGTAGGTTTATACGGACAATTTTCACAAGGCTGGCAGGCAGTCAGCAAGGGAGTTCTTTAAGACCTTGAGCGAGGATCGAAGCAAGTCAAAATTGTAACATACATAATGCAGAAGAGAAGATGAAAAACAGGTTGGAAAAACCTGTTAAGGATACCACAGTAATTATTTACAAAGCTCTGTTTTATATTATTAAAAAAGTCTGTAGAATTATAAAAAAGCTTGAAAAAACGGGGAATAACTTCTCCTTATTTCTCAAACAAAAGAACTAGCAGGCTTAGGAACAAAATCATCAGATGGCACACTGAAAACCAAATTTGAATCAAGGAGGTCATTTGTTTTTACCCAGTTTTTCTGGGTTCAAAAACCAATTGGATAAAACTAATGTAAAATATTCCATTAAAAGTAGTAAGCAAAATGATACAATCTCTAGTTCAGAGTCCCACAACTTGCAAACTGCTTGAACCTGGAGGAAAATAATCAAATCCCTGCTCTGTTCTTTTCATTATCCTTAGCATCTGCTACTATCTGAGACAAGATGCTGATCTACACAGAGATCTGGTGTAGCACAAATGAGTAGTATTTCTTACTAAATAACAGTAGAAAGTACAAAGACACTGAATTGGAAAGGAAGCTTTTAGGAGCAAAATAATTATGTATTACAGTATTAAAAGCTTCCGATCTTTTTTTTTGCATTTTTGAAAAAAGCTTATAACGTACCTTAGCAAAACTGTAGCCAGTTTTAGAAATTAATTAAGTTTAGGATTGGGTTTATTACAGAAATTCAATGGTAAGAAGAAAACCAGTATGAAAGATTTAGAGGTTTTTCTTTTAATTTAAGCAAAATTGGGGTTGAAAAATACTACTATTACAATCAGACCTCTCAGGAATACAAAGAAACTACTGTAAAAATCTCAATATTAAAGAAATTAGGTTTATATTCAATTTGCATGATTCAAATAGCTGAATGCTCAAATTTTTATACTCTTATTTTTCAATCTACTTAGCAGCACATTAACGTTTATAATTTTTTTCTTTAACTTAATTTTATAAAATCCTCCAACTCCACTTTCTGTCTCAGGAAAGCCATTTAGCAGTGAAATGCTACAGCAGATTTGAAATTAAAATATTATATATACATACATAGCTCTTCCATGACCTAAGACTATGACTGCTTTATAAGTGTACTCATACAGAAGGCTGTAATAATGTGGTTTATTCAAAATACCACAATATGATTCATTCGATGACGCCGTAAGTACCAAATTTCACCTGGCGCTGCCATTTATAGTGCCATTTCCCAGATCATGTGAAACATACCATTCCCTGCAAAACCCTCAGTTAAAACAGCTGGTCAAGAAAGTAACTGGTTTCTAAACAAAGACATTCAAAACTTTACTAACCTGTGTGCGTTTTAACATGGCAATCCAGAGTGGATTTTACAGTGAAACTCTTTCCACATTCTTCACATTTATATGGCTTCTCTCCAGTATGGATACGAACATGCCTAGTAATTCCAGAATACATGCATATGTGAATTTCTACTTTTATGTCAGTTTGTAGAAATATTTCTTTTGTATCTTACTATTTTTAGAATTAATTAAATACTTATATTAACATTACATTAAGCAGAACTAGTAAAGAAGATGATTTAAGCATTTGCCTTTTTTCAAACTGATTTTTACATGCAAGTCCTAGAGCAAGAAAAAAATAATTTATTCTAATACTTCATCATAATAATTGTAATACTGCAGGAAAAGAAATATGAAAAGGTTGTTTTAGTCATATTTAGAATATATAACATTTTGATATATATTTTTAAATTGTTCTGAAAGAGAAAAATGTATGTAAATATGAGTCAAACTTTAGCTTAGGCATAAAAAAGCTATATGAAACTGTTACTGCTAAATTTCTGATGAACAATTTACAAAACTGAAAATACACAACACTTTTCCATTCCTTACCTGACTAAATCACTGGGTTTTTTAAAGCTCTTGGGGCAATAACTACAACAGTTGGCATATTTGGGCTCTGCTTCCAGTTCTGCTTGTTTATCTTTGATCTCACTAATTCTGTCTTTCTCTGCAGCAGACTGGACAAGAACTTTTTCTGAGACGGTGGCACTTTCTCGAGGCCTAATCTTTGCCAGTTCTGCTGTTTCTTCTTCTGTAAAAGTTATGACACCAGGACGAGATTTTCTGGAAGTTCTTTCAGAGTTTTCATCATCATCTTCAACACATGCAACTACTAAAACAAAACAAAACACCAAAGAAAACCACACACATCTTTAGTTTAATCTGTCAGCTGACATTACAAAAACAGAAGGGTCTATTATTAAACACATGGCCACTACATTACGTGCTTGCACCCAAATCTCTTTCAGAGGTCTAACTACTGATGTCTGTACTTCTTTAAAATAAAGCTGTATTTATAATTCTTATTTTTACAATAATTAAATACAGGTATAAGGAATTTAGGACCAAAAAATATTCTGCTTCAGTGACACACTAAAATAACTATGTAACATACAATACTTTGAATACACTGGACAGACTCTTGGAAAACTGATTTCTTTAAACAATTTAGATAACAGAGCAATTTCAGTGGCTCTGGACATTAGACATTATCCACGCTGGAAGGCTAATTTAAAACATTACTGTTATAGCATTCATGTAATCCACTGAAACAGCTGTACTTGTTACGCAGTAAGGACTGTAAGAGTAAAAATGAAATAATTTACCTCCCCCTCCTGTTTCTGTAGCTGCTGCTACAGCTGAGGAGACTGCCTGATGTTTTTTCATATGTTTTTTGCAGTGAACAGTTGTTCGAAAGCTTTCATCACAGAATGGGCACTTGTAAGGCTTCATGCTCATGTGAGTTGCCATGTGCCTGGTAAGGCTGCCATTAGTTGTGAAGGAGGTATTGCAAATACTACAGCTGAATGCTTTAACTCCTTAAAGTAACAGAAACAAATAAGTAGCATGCCATTTGTTTAAGTTTACTTATACAGGACATTTGCAAAACCCAAATGTGAGTTAAGGTAATATAGAGCTGGTATAGTCTGTTACCTGTATGAGTCTTCTCATGCGACTTAAGAACTCCTGAGGAAACAAAGCCACGGCCACAGAGTTGGCATTTGTAAGGTTTCTCACCAGTATGTGATCGTACATGTTGTTTCAAATGGCTGGATTTCTTAAAACCCTTGTTGCAATATTCACATCTATTAGAAGAAAATTGTTTTCATTAGTTGCATATAATTACTAGCCATAAAAGATTCAGGAAATTCTGTGACAGAACCTAGAAGTATAACAAACCTATATGAACGTCTGCTTTGATCTTCATTATCCTCAAGAAAATGAGGCCGTTGGGTATGCAATTCAAGTTCTTCTTGTGAAGACTGATCTTGTATCAAGCGAGTAGTCTAGAAATCAAAGCTTCAAGTAAATTTCAATAACACAATACTGAAATAAAGTCATACAAACAGGCAAGAAAAAATTACAGCATTTACAGTCAGCACAAGTAATCAAATTTATGCTTTCAAAATTTTATGACAAGAAATTAAGAGTGCGATATGATACCTCACTTTCATAGTTAGAAGCATCAAAATGTGCGCCTACTGAATCAGAATAAATGGACAACTTTGTGCCCTTACACCTCCCTGTGAATCTAGACAAAAACATGTCTCAAGTCTTGTAGATTTTTCTGGTGTTTGAGGGGTTAAATTTAACACTGAAGTAGCTGTTTTAAACAGTATGAGCCCCACATGGAGTAGCAAAATGCACAGCGGTACCGACACGACTTCATTATTTTTTGAACAGGTTTTTCCTCCAAGCAAAAACCACCACGGAATAATCCTCAAGAATGACAGCATGTTTTAAGATTTGAAGAGAAGTAAACTCCAAAGCTCATAAGCTGAAATTACTCAAACTCTTCCAGATCCTAAAACCCATCTCTGACTGACATTTGCCCTTTGCAAACAAGCATGAAGGGACAATAATTCATGCAGGTCAACATGATAAACACATTACTACAGATGGTCTTCATGCTAGGTACTGCTACCATCATAAAAAGGTACATTTAAACTCTAGTTTTAGCAATTAAGCTCTTTTACAAATTTAACCAGATAAGAACCATAAAAGAACACCATAAACCGCAATATGCAAGCTCCATGAATGATCACTACACATCTGTAATGTTAAGTTTATTGCTTGAGCATACCTATATATATAGAAATTAAAGAATCAGGACAGAATATAGTTCAATAATGTAAAATTATTTTATAACACTAGGTCCTTTCCTTAGTTTTAGACTTACAATCCAACTTTATAGTATTATATCCTTTTTTAAGCCTAGAGCATCAAAATGTACAACTCTCTTTTAGAAACATGTAGCCAGGCCACTTATCCTCCTCCCGCGCGTTTATTTTCCAGACATTAAACATAAGCAATCTAGAAAAGAAATCATGAAATTTTTCTGACTTCTCAGTTTACCTAATCACCAATGAAACAGTTCAAAGAAACTCATCACTGAACAATTAATTCTGCCTTTTAGCAGTACTTACTATGTTAATAGTGTCTGTATTTGGAACCTGAAGAAGGGCTGGTGGATGATAACTTGTTGAAAGAGCTTGAGATTCAAGTGTGCTTGAATCCTGCAGCTGCTGTACAGCTGGAAATTGAGTCTGTTGATTGTAGCTGTCATTCACTGTAAAACCTGCCAGAAATTTAACAGTCACAAGCCTGGAAAATACACTGAATTGGACTTTGAATAACACCACACTTTTTTGAAGATTACCTTCAAAAGAGATTAAGTAGTATTACCATATAGTAATACTCATTTTATTCTCTTCACTGTTGAGTGTCAAAATACACAAATGTTTCTGGCATCTATGTAATATGCATAATAGGGTTACTTACCATTAGCTGGAATTCTATTGGAAAATCTCCTCCACAGAAAAACACTGTTTGAAGTTTCTTCGGGGTGCCACAATTACCTTAGAGCCATTGAAATTTTGAATTTCTTGTATGTAAGCATGCATGTGTCAAACAGGTTGACCCATCTCCCTTTATCCACGTTGGTATCACGCTCCCTTAACTACACTGGAAGCCGATCACAAGGATGCAAAGCTCAGTGGGGAGGATGGCGGGTGAGTGGAGGAGATGACCCAATAGGAGAACTCCAGTTTCTGATAAAGTAACCCCATTTTCTCCTACTTTGGATCTCCTCCACATATTCCCACTCTTTAGATAATAGTAAAGTAGAGCCTCTCAAAGGCAAACTGCAAAGTAAAAAATAAACATATTTTTTATTCACATTTCCAGCATGAAGACCTGAAATTTTTATTCAGTTTTGTTCTTCTGAAATATCAGATCTTAATCACACCTCCTTTTCTAAATGAATGAATGAAATGATAGTATCAATGATTCGGAGCCAAGGAAGTATAGCTCAGATTGCAGGGGTTTTTAAGGCTATTAGAGATGCCCTTTTATTAAGCCCTCTAAGCCCTAATACTTCTAATATTAAAACAAAAATTCAATGTTATGTGGAAAAAAATGAAACCACAAGTAGCAGTAACTAAGGTAAGGGCAGCAATTTTACTATTTCTGTGCAGTTTGCCTTTAGTGGACAAAAAGGGTGAAGACTATGAAAACAGGGCAGAAACAAACCCACATCAGATGATCACAGCATCAAAGGCCAAAAAGCCATGCTTAAAGAATGTCCTGAATTACAGTATATCAAAAACCGGGATGTGTTAAGTTTAAGCAGAAATTTTCCCAAAAGACACTTTTCATAGCAGAAGAATACCATTATCAATACAGGAAAAAAACCTACTTGTATGCTGTTGCTCATACCATAGAATGAAAACTAACAAATTTAAATAAATGTTGAAAGCATTATTAGTGAGGTTGTACCTTATCACCAAACCTAATGTTGCAACTTGGAAACTATTTTCTCCCCTAGAACTACCAAGATTACAAGAAAAAAAAAGATTCAACAGGTTGAACCTTGCACTTCAATTACTCTTAGCGAGACGACAAAATAAAAAGAGTAGCCTGAAGAACAGTGATCTAAACTTTTATGGCGTAAGAGGGTTGCTAATTTCTATTTTCAAATACACTTTAAAAGCACCTTTATGGAAAACTGATATTCTCACTACACCTACACTTGATGAGAACACAAAAAAACCAAGCCTCAAGAACCTGAAGCAAAAGTGATGCCACTTCTGTGCCCTACAAAAAGAAAAATAGCTATTAAATGTCCAAAGGAACAGCTATCTAAAAAAATGGAAACTTTTCTTTAATTGGTAAGTAATTTTTACTACCTAAGAAGGAAAAAAGAAGTTACTATACCATGAATTGTTTCACTTCACGGTGTTTTAAATAAAAGCAATTATTGACATCCTGAAAAATTTCCCTCGATCATGCAACAAAATGCACCGGAAGAAAAGTTCTGAATTTAGAGGTATTTGGGGACAAACTGAAGAAAGAAATACTACTTCTGAAAGTAGTTCTGGAATAAATATAAACCAACATTGTAACAAAAAAATATGTGATGCATGCCATTTTGCTCCATAGGTAGTATGAAGGACAATTTCTGCTCAAAATTTTAAAAAGATCTGACAATTTTGAGCATGCTAAAGGCATTTGTTACCACCACACCATCTCTACAGAACAGTATTAAAAAAACCCAGAAACCAAATACCAAAACCCAGACATTCAGTCCGAGAGAGACAAATAAATTTCAGAATGTTTATTTTCTGCTCTTGTTTTCATCATTATATACTGTTTCCCAGAAGCTGTTGTTTAATCTTCAAAGAACAGAGAGTATCTTAAGCTCTGTATAATAAGGGGAGTCTCTTACTACAAAGTCCTCTAAACTTGGAACTGGATTTTGTGTTATTTCAGTGCAAGTAATCATTTGCATTGCTTGTTTTCTCCTGGCTTTAGGACATCACCCAACCTACTCTCTTCTACATTAACAAAACATATTGAAAAATGGAAATCCGTTTACTAGCAGAAAGATATGTCCTGCACATGAGAATGAGAAAACAAGAGTATCATCGTTCATAGCAAGTACAGTATTTTAGTTTAGACAAAACTTGAAGTCTTTACTGACAGATCATTTGAATTCTAACATTACAAACAGACCTACATGCACATGTGCATCCCAGTGGGGGTCAGTAACTAGCAATTAAATGTTCTGCAGGTTTGCTTCCTAGGCAACTTTTGGAACCAGCTGAACAGTATTGACTGGAATCAATGTGTAAATAGTTACCGCAAGAATTGGAATTCCAAGTCCTGAGATTGCAGACCAATTTCTTAGGAAAGCAAAACAGCAGTCTGGTGGCAAGTGTATATTTGTATGGGCTACAGAGTTACACTATTTGGACTTCTTGCAGCTTTTCAAGACCACTCTCCTGTCACCACTAATTGAATTACTAACATTTAATCATGCTTACAGGGAGACTTTAAAGGAAGAAAAGGTGACATAATCTATATGAAAATACATTTGGTGACAGATGATACTCAATAACCCAAAGAAATTTTCTGATAAAAGATCCATTTGGTTCTTCTGACCTCACTAAAAAGTCTTCAAATGAAGACGCCTAAACATGTAAACTACAAAGAACATTGAAGTTCTTTTTCTCAGTCTTCAAATCTAGCTCAAATGAATAATAGATACGATACAGCAACACCTTCCTAAGATCTGCACTTCTTTACAAGTCTGAATGTATCAAGAAGAAAATCTATCTGAACAAATCAGAAATTCTGTAAAAGCATTACAAACAAACCTGAAAGAATAAACAAAGTTCTGACAGGTCTGTACAGACCTAGAGATCAGCCTCATCTGTCTGAAATACAGAGATTTTCTCTTTTTCTTAGAAAAAGGAAAAATCAAAAAACCTACCAAAGGTTTTTTTTTAAACTCCTATGTTGTTTTATTAATAAACACTGAGCCAAAATATTTTAACAAGAATAGAGCCTATAAATATCACAGATAAAAAAGACATAGTGTTTTAAGCTTGAATGTTCTGCCTAGCTGATAGGAAAAAGAAATTAGGAGCATGAAGCACAGACGCAGACATAGGGAGAGGGTCGACCAATTTAACGCATGCATCCGCGCAAATGCTTACCTACCTGAAATTCAAAAATTTTGAAGGGCTCCAGGATCTTCAAGGAAACTTCAAAGAGTTGGGAATCTGTGGATGAGATTCCAAGTAGAATAGGAGACATCTTATACAAATGAGACTTAAAAAACCCCACACGACAAATGTTCTGATTCTCTGTACCAATTTTATAATTCACCAATGATCGGCCTAGACTTCCGACGATGAATTGTTTTTTGAGTTCTAGAAGACTCTCCCTGCTCCCCAAGAAATCACTTAGTATTCAATACTTATTTAATGGAGAAGATACACATATATAGAAACTGGACTCTAAATAAGATAACAAAACAAGGTTTACATATCAGATTTTCAAATTCAAAGGAGCTGTAAAAATCCAAACAAAAACCACCACCACTCTTGAGAGTAACAGACTGAAAGATTGCACTTTTTTTCTGTAGCCTGTTTTCATTCATTGGGAAAACTGTCAAAGGTAACCAATAAAAATCATCCATAGGCTTTTAACAGGACCTGGTTCAGCCTTGTTTAATAAAGATGGAGACTTCATTTTGTTTTCTTAGTTACATAAAAAGCAGCACAACCTAGAGAATTAAAATCAGCAACAAATTATCCTATTTCTTCACAGTGTCATGCAACTTAGCACAGTCAATTACGTTTTTACAAAAAGCGCTATACAATTAAACAAAGGAATGAAATTAAGAACAGGGCAGATGGAATACCAATTACTGGTTACGAGTTATATCGATATGAAGTTATTTGCTGGAGTCAGAAACAAGGAGGGAGAGATCAACTGGTCAGCCAATGAGGTATGCTTCCCAACCAAAACAAATTAAAAATCCTTGAACATAATACCCCCCTTCCCTGCCCCTCCCACCGAGTCCCCACTCCCCCCCTCCCCCCCAAAAAAAACCAAAACCACAAACCAACAAAAAAACAAACAAACAAAAAACCCCAAATCTAGTAGCTTCATATCAGGCAACAGCTCAAGAAATCCAGAAGTGAAAAGCAAAGGAACAGTCATTTCTTCGTTTTATGCAGGCTACATAAGCTTTACGCATATTTCTCAGTATTTTGTAGGTAAAATAAAAAAAAGTTTCCAAATTTTTACGATCTCTTAATTTGTTACTTATGTAGTTTTATAAAATACAAAGGGAAACTGCTGCGGTTAGGTGAAAGTATGATTTTTACATGATTACATTTTGCACTATCTTTTTCCATAATGAATACCAACAGCTACTCTGTCAAATCTTAGACCATGTTTCTGATCATCTCAGGTTATGAGAAGGAAAACATAGGCGGAAAGTTGTGTAAACTGCCTACTTCCACTGTAATTTCAAACACAGTCAAGGAAAGAATATGAAATGCCTGACTATAAACCCCATACTTTAATGACTAAACATCGGCTCATAAAAGCAAAATCTATTTATGTTGAAGTATTCAAAATACTCTACCAAATATAGTTTCAAAACAGTAATTTAAGAAAAAATTTTTGTAAGTTCTCTGTATTGCAGTTACTTTGACTTTGGATGCTGACTTTTGAAATGCCTTATGATAGTTATGCTGTAAAGCCAGATTTATGAAAATCACTTTAAAAACTTTTATTTATTACTAACCTTGTGATAAGCCCTGTTGATCAAATGGCTGCTGTGTTATAGCTTGTTGTTCAAACTGAGTGATGTTTTCCTGTAAAGCATGTTGGGATGTCACAAATCTATCTGAAATGGGGAAAGGAAGAGGAGAAAAAAAAAAAAGAAAAAGAAAAGGAAAAAATATCAAGAAAAGAAGATGTAATTAACTGGATAATTCAGTTCCCAACAGTCTACTTTTTATAGTCATCTGAATTTTTATTGCATTAAAAATAAAAAAAAATTATTAGCTGAATAGGTATTTAAATCTTTGCTTATTGTAGGCTTTATGTATATTCCTCTGTAGTACTTGCTAACTCATAACACCACAAAAAAGAGCAAATAAGTAAAACCAAAATACTTTGTTCCACTATTACTAATAGAGTAAGTACATGAAATAGTTTGTATTCTCCCACCTCAAAGCACAGGTATAACTTCCTAAGGAGACTCTATAGCAGTGCTTTTTATTAATAATTGAGGGGATGTGGTAAAGTTTTGTGCACATAGTATTATTTTTCTGTATATTTGTTTAGTATATTTTTTTTATACAACTAAATGATGCAAACCTTAATCAATCTTTTTATATTTAACAATAAAGCTAAACACCAATGAATGAAATTGTACAATACACTTCAAGTAGTTAGCTTTTACTCCATGTACTTTTCTAGTTGTTTACTTGCATTGTCTTGAAACTCAAATCATTGAAATTTGTGAAGAAAAAGTTATTTGAGAACTTGTAAGCTTACCTCATTATAAACCTTACCATATTTCAAATACTCACCCTCATCTTGCTCTAAAGGCTGATCAGCCAATTGTTGTTCTAGCGCTGTTTCTTCTGTGCCTACTACTGGCTGCTGGTCTAACTCTAAAATAGCCTGCTGATCTGTTGCAACAGCTTCTGACTGCTGTAGCTCATCACTTTCAATCTCCACTTGCATCTGTGTAGAAACATGAATGCTCTGCTGATCTACTGTAGAATCATCTATTGAAGCAGACTGCTGATGCTGCTGAAGTTGCTGTGCAAGTTCGTATCTACAAAGAAAGGTAAGAAGGTCTTTTTATGGCTTCAGTTAGACAGTTATTCTAATTATTTATGTGAATAATTTTTTATTTTTATTATACACCATAATTTACTATACCTTCAGAGCTACCCAAGTGTTTGCTACCCATAACCAAACATCCTTATTCAATTATTAGCATTTGCTACAGAGCAAAGCTGCCTTTCCAAGTATCTTTAAGGAAGGGCTACTGAAATACATTGAAAGATTGACATAAAAATTGTAAACATACCTATGAGTCTTCATGTGTTTTTTACAGTTTAGTGATGTTTTGAATGTTTTTTGACAATACGGACACATATATGGTCGAAGGTCATTGTGGATCCCCATATGTCGTCTGAGGCTACCACCAGTAGTGAAGGCCCCGTTGCATATAAGACACTTAAAAGCTTTCAATCCAGTGTGTGTTCTAATATGTGCTTTCAGAACTCCAGCTGACACAAAACCTCTTCCACATTGAGAGCACTTAAATGGCTTTTCACCAGTATGTGACCTTTTTAAGAGAAAGCAGAAGATTTAACAGTTTGATTAACAAAGTTACTAAAAGACTAAATTTTAAAATAAGCAAAATAAACCAAACTAAGGTGACTGCTGTATGGGCGCAGGAAGCCTCAGCCAAGAAAATCCAGAAGTTAAAGCTTTAATAAATCATAAACAACCTGCATGTCATCACTGGCAGGACTAGAAGCAATACTGTCTGACAGTTTAGGTTATGTTCTACAGTCCAATCTCCTTTTCTGATTGTACTTTGCCTCATTTAAAACATTTGCGTTGAATTTTTGCATGCCAGATAATATACTAGTTCTTCAGATTAGTATATTATCATTCACATGTATTTTCCTCAATTCAGCTAAAACAATGTCCACGAAAGTTTGGAGAAAAATATATGGTCATCCTTGTATTACATACTACTTCTATGTTTAATAATGAAACTTTTGGGAAAAGAACTGTGTCCATCATGAATGCCCCCTGAATAAGGTACAGTACAACTAGTCTTTCAGATTGCTATGTCAAAACAATATTCAAGTGGAGAAACTCTCTCACCTATACTATCAACATGTCCCACTCACCATATCCTTCCTTCCAGAGGTGCTAGAGGAGTTTCCCTTTAGGACTACATTGAGATATAAAACAGACTGAAGGACAGGTTAGGAAACCGAGCAGAGTGCAAGGAGAATTTTAAGGGCTACGACCGTAGTATCCCAGGCGTGAGAGCTAGGACGAAGGCAACATAAATGCTAGGAAATGGAAGATAAAGGAAGCAGGATTTAATAAAATTGCAAAAAGTTAGGAATGGTTTATGATTACAGTAGTCTTAGAAGTCTATGACTACCACATCAGATGCCATAATACAGTGTGAAATATATCAAGATTACTGTTTTGCTACCAATATACACCTATGGAAATCAGCGGCAGGGTACCTGAACCCTTCCTTGGTGTGCCTGTGGGAGAATCCGACACACTATTCTGTCACAGCTCTATTGAAAATACCCCTACTACAAATTTCCGTCTGTTTCAGAGAGGGAAACAAGCTTGCTAAGCAATGATGAGCACAATTCTGTGAAGATGGACTGACCACATAAGTCTCAAGTCTAGTAGTTTAGGTATACCAACGCCAACTTATAAAGAACAAACATGGAAAAAGAGAAAAGTTTCTAATTTCTCTCCAAACCCTTAACAAAGCCAAGCTGAGCTAAGCTTCACTCTGTATTTTCTTGCAAAAATCAATCAGAAAGAACCACAGCAGCAAGTGACTGGTACTCCCATCACATCTTTGTATTTTCAATATGGAAGAAAAACAAAGATGCACATAGTAAGTGGCAAAGCTTTTAAAGATAGTTTATCCTGAGCTGGAGTACGTGTATAGCCAACAGCAGAATGAATTCAAGCACAGGCATTTGAAGGACAGAATTTTCAAACATAAAATGTATTCTGACAAGAAAAAAAAATAAATTGTGAGTATTCAGTGCGTGTAAACCAATTAAGTAATAAGCTGTTCACGTTCTGCATAATCAAAATACTTGCAATTTCTATTCAAAGAATCCTGACAAAACTGTGAAAAAGAAAAACTAACTAGGTGAATCAGTCAACTACATTTCTCTAACAGAAATGAAAGAGGAAAAATTATGAATATAAATATAATTGTAAAATACATAAATGCTTCCATAAAATATGCGTAAATTTAGCTTACATTTAGGCTAAATAAGGCCACCTTTAGGCAGATAAGGCCCTCGTTAGAGGCAACTAACATTTTAATGGTAACTAACCATTGACAGTTACAGTCTCTTTAAGAAAATAAAGAGACAAGTATGAAACACAATTAAAATCAACTATTTCAATGAAGGTGGTAATGATGCAAAGAAGCAACACTTACTAATTTAAAATTATTTTGATTTAAATCAATCCAGCTTGACTGTGTCTACAAAAGACAGTGTGAGCAATCTAGGTAGGGTATTACAAAAGGAAAAGATGGGAGATTGCAAGGCTTCCCTCCCTCCCGTTAAGACAGCATATAGAAACCAAGAACTGTTTCAAGCCAGTTTGAGAACCTACCAATACAGAACTTGATTTGTAAGGAGAACACAAGGAACTCGCCATGATCAGAATTAGAGAAAATGAGAAGTGGTACAGAGCTTACATTGCAGAAACAAGCAGATTGTTCGGAATTCGTAGTTTCTCCTCCAGATATTCATAGTTTATAAATCAGTGAGCAACGTTTGATAACTCAACTAAATTTCAAAGCTCACTGCGTGTAAAACTGCAACTTGATCTAACTTTGAAGCTATCCTTTCTTCTGAAAACAAGGTTGGATTAGTTACCTCCACTGGTTCCCCTCCAACCTAAATTTTTCAGTTACTCCATGACTTTGTGGTTGTTACAAAGACTCACTATATGGAACTTGAACTGAACTTCAAGCAACAAAATGATCCCCAAGAATGTTTACCTGATTACAATATCAGCCTAAATTCTTTTAGGTTTAGTACACAGAAAACAGCACACAGAATAAAAAGCTAATTTCCTTCTCAAAAAATAGGAGTTACACACAAAGCAGATGATCTGGAGTATCCAATTACAAAATTACGAGGAGAATTCACATCCAATGCTTGCTCTTTTCTATACATAGTTTAGGCAAAAAGTCCAAGTGTTAATAAGCTAAACTGCACACTAAACACAACCACTTGTACTGCTAGGACTCCACATAGGTATGAATTAGTCCAAAGTCTCCTCCATCTTTACCAGAAAAATCAATTATCATGGGTTCACTACTTAAGAGATGGTAAAAAAAAGTCTTTTCAATGAACTCTATATAAATTTCACACTTTTCCATACATTTGTTATTACATACATTTCCTTTCTTCGTTGTATTTATTTTACCTGATGTGTTGTTTAAGATGACAAGATTTTTTATAGGCTCGATGGCAATAAAAACACTTGTATGGTCTGTCTGCATCGTTCACAAAATTATTGTTAAAATAATTTTGGAAGAACTGGCTATTCCTTGGGATCGGTTGGATAAGACCTGCACACATAAACACACATACAAAAAGGAAAAATTAATTGGTAAAGTTGTTCCAAAGTTGCAGTGGTCTGAAGAGTTAGTATTTGCAAAAAATGTGACTAAACTTTTAGCATGCAAGAATATAAAGAAAATGAGCATGTTTTCAGCACTTATTTAAAATTATGCATGCATCTATTTAGCATTATACATATACATGTTATCTATTTTAGTGATAACTCTGCTTTTATCCATAGGTTCACCTGACTACATTAAGCCTCACATATGTCCAAAATAACCATTAACTTTAAAAAAAACTTGACAGTTGTGAATTGACTCCTAATCACGTATTTTGCTCTTCCAACCTCCACCTTAACCAAATGACATTTAATCTATGTACCCCAGATATACATATTAACTTGTCAAATATTTAATATGGATTTTGTGAAAAGTACAAAACTTCACGATATATATCTGCCTTTACTTAAAGGATAAAAAAAGTCCATGTGGTGGTTTAACCCCAGCCAGTAACCAAATGCCATGCAGCCGCTTGCTCACTCCTTCCCCCTCCCAGTGGGATGGGGAAGAGAAGCAAATAGTGGGTTGAGATAAGAACAATTTAATAACTAAAGTAAACTAAAATAACACTAACAATAATAAAATACAATAATAACAGTAACTGTAATGAAAAGGAATACAACAAAAGAATAAAACCCAAGAAAAGCAAAGTGACGCACAATGCAATTGCTCACACATCACTGACCGCCCTGAGCAGCGATCAGCCCCTCCCAGCCAACTCCCCCCAGTTTTTATACTGGGCATGATGCTCTATGGTATGGAATATCCCTTTGGCTACTTCGGGTCAGCTGTCCCAGTTGTGCTCCCTTCCAGCTTCTTGTGCACCACCTTTCACCATGGCAGAGCACGGGAAACTGAGAAGTCCTTGACTTAGGGTAAGCACTGCTCAGCAACAACTAAAACATCCATCTGTTATCAACTTTATTCTCATACTAAATCCAAAAACACAGCACTGTACCAGTTATCAAGCAGAAAACTAACTCTATCCAGATGAAACCAGGACAGTCCATTAGAAATTTTTGTATTTGTACATCATCTACGTTGGCTAATCAGTCAGTCTTTCTGAAAAAAAAAAAAAAAAACACCACAAAAAACACAACACAAACACAAAACCTCAAACCAACTTATTTAAACAAATGCTCTTTATACACTAGTCTCTGAAGTCAGTCCAGTGTTGCTCTGGAAAAATCAGTTAAAAAATTCCTGCTACTAAACATCCAACTGCTAATGCAAGAGTATGCTGTCTCAGAAGCAGCCAACAGAAGGGTATCATCCCAAACACGGTGACAGAATGGGAACAGTAGCTGACTTCTAAAGTAAACAAACTCACCATCATTCACACATCTGTGAACTCAAAAGTACTCATCACAATACTAATATACAAGGCTGATGGAGTCATGCAAAATTTCAACAAATATGCAAAAGATCCCTTTACGGTCCTAAGAATTCACCACAAAAGCCTTTTGCGCCATCTTTTCCTTCTTCAGACTGCGCCATCTAGCATGCTATGTTCATATTCAGAAAGGAAAGCCCAAAGGGTTTCTGTTGACTTCCAAACGTAATTGAAAAAAGCAGAAGACAAGCAAAGGGAATTCTCGCAATTTTGAGAAGAGATGGCAACAATGAAAAAAGAACAAATTTATCTGTCTCAGACTTGAAAAAGTTTACACATATATAGGTATGTTATACATATATATAAACACAAATATGCCAAAACTTCCTTCACCTTCCCCAACTAACTCAGCCGATCTAGTAAAAACATTTTCTCTTAAAAAAAAAAAAAAAGGAAAATCAAAAACACTCACACACAAAAAACCCAAACCAAAAGAAAAACCCAAACCAAACAAAACCAAACCAAAAAACCCACCAAAACCAAAACCACAACTCTACTTTCTAAATTCATAGAACCATAGAACGGTTTGGTTGGAAGGGACCTTAAAGATCATCTCGTTCCAACCCCCCTGCCATGGGCAGGGACACCTTCCACCCCACTAGACCAGGTTGCTCAAAGCCCCATCCAGCCTGGCCTTGAACACTTCCAGGATGGGACGTCCAAAGCTTCTGTGGGCAACCTGTGCCAGTGCCTCACCACCCTCACCGTCAAGAATTTCTTCCTAATATCTAATGTAAA